TGATTAGGAGCATAATTGGCTGTGCTTAAAAATAAGTTTTAACTTACTCTTAAGTTAATTGTTTTGCTGTGAAACAAAGTTACCAAAGTTATTTTCCTTTGATCCCCATTCAAAAAAGGAATTAATTAAAGAATTCATTTTTCTCCTAACAAAATAAGCACAGGAAAACATGCTCTTAAGCAGGCCAATAGGAGGCAGGACAGCAAATACTATACCTTGTCCCATCAGCGCTATAGGCCATTGTAGTACAAGAGAGACCTGGGGCATTGTAATCAACTCTGGAACCCATATTATCGTATAACCAGACCTTGATCTTCCCATCAAAAGCAGTTGAAAAGATGAACTACAAAAGTATAACATATTTTTTAAAATAAAAGGAATGAGTTGTAGCAAATAGAAAAAAGAAATGAACTAAACCTGTTCGAAAAATTAGGTACTGGAGGATACAGTATCAATTTCGCACTCTCTTCTTTCTTAAGACTATTGGTACATAGCCTTAGATGAAACTGGTCTCATAATTCTAATTTGAGCACACTTTTGTTCAGAATCAAATATCCATTAGGTTATGAGACGCAAACAAAATCACAACATGTAGCATGCCAATTTTCCCTCGAAATTAAAGATATTAATGAAATATCTATAAAATATTAATTTAGAATTGCAGTACTGCCAAAACATCAAATAGTGCTTGTCATTTATGCATACTGCACTTTTGAATAACTTCGCATCCTTAATTCTTGCAAATGCTACAGCTCGTAAACTTTGGAAACCTTATACCTGAATGTTTTCTTTATAATGTGGGCATACAGAATAAACAGGTGCCTCGTGACCCTCAAATGTGTACTGCCTAGCACCAGTGGCTGCATCCCACACCTGCACAAATAACCTTTTAGAGTCACTGCTTACAGACTCAAATTCAGCAATCTCTTCTCATTTACTGAAGGGCGCAAACCTTAATTGCCTTGTCCTCCCCACAAGTTATGATGCACAACTGCTTGTTTGGATGAGAGAACGCAACATCATTGACACTACCAACATGGGCATCAATCTGAAAGAACCACCAAGAGAATTCAAACCTCGTCTCGCAATTCTCATTTATATATACAGAGAAGGTCAAGGAGCAGAAGGTGAATCTACAACACAAACCTCAAGGTGATTTCTTAATTCATCAGCGCCATTATAAGCATACAAGTGAACAATGTGCTTCGAATATGCAACACCTGAATCAAAATTGTAACAATCATAACAGATAACCAGGACTTCTGTGTTATCTGAGCCTTCCACGATTGACTTGTTTATCTTTCTCAAAGGAAAGATTGCAATCAAACCTCTGGCACACATAACACTAAATGCACTTATCAAAGAACCACAATGGATAATTGACTGATAAAATTTTAAACCCCACTACTTAGTAGACAGTACCGAAAAGGTTTCCATCAGAGCTCCACATCACCCGATTCACTGATGCAGTATATTCATTAGCCAAAGAAGCCTACATTGGAAAGGCAGAAAATTAACCACGGTAATAATAAAAAATAATGTCCAGGGGGTTTTCAAATAAAGACTTCTTATACCTGCAGAGTCATTGAGCAAGCTCCAAGGTCCCAAACCTTGAAATTTTTAAATGCTACCTTCTCCCTTCTACTCACTTCCCATATAGTAATGTCACCAATATTTGTTCCCACTGAAATGTAAAGGAAACCAATAGAGATATTTTGTTATATAGCATTGCACACTACATACGCAAAATATCAACAGTGTTTTTAAGACAATTTATTATTATAAAATCCCTAAGTCACACACACATACACATAGCATTCTGACACTATATTACAAGGAAATTTCAATTTTTTGAAGATGTATGTAGCATATCAACTTGGGGTGCATGTGTGTGTATTTACATTGGTCAATGCGTCAACATATATGTCATAAATTTCTTTAATAAAGTGGGAGCTAACCAAGTAGTAGAGTTTGTTGATTTGGATGGAAATCCATGCTCTTCACAGCAGATCCCTGATTCAGATTTGCCACCAGAATCTTGGGTACATCATCAGCAGACTCTGAGGTATGAGGATGACTTTGTCCAGGATATGTGACTGGCAATATGTTAACAGGCAAATTGTTGACCTGTGAGGAGATTATACATATGAACTAGAAATCAATAACATGTGCAACTCAAAATAGCAGAGGAAACTGAAATATTAATCCACTGGTAAAAAAAATTATTCAGATTTAAGGTATGAAAAAAAGGATTCACAAAACCAACCCCCTAAATTATCAGGAAGAAACCATAGTTTGTTTTTGTTGTACACAGCTATCATGGCAATCCAACCCAACAAATTCTTTATGACAATATTTATCCTGTTCAGTGACTACAAATTAGTGGCAGGCCAAAAATAACAACACAATTGAAGGCCATATCATATACCTCCTCTGATACTCCAAAAGGTTTTGATCTCTTCAGCACATGTTCGGAATCTGCAGTTTGATAGTCCAGTGCTGGATTGTTAGTAGTAGGACTCCTAGGACGCTTTAGCATAGACACTATCACAACATTTAGATGTAAAATGAATGGTGAGAATTAGTTGAGGAAGTTTGGTTAAATGATGAAGGAAATTATGTTATGACAGCTATATGCGGAAAAGAGTACAGTTCATTTTATCTGAGGCAAGTCCACCCTGTAGGCATCATGTGGCCAAATGAAAATTCTTCTAGAACTCATTGTCCAACCTCAAAATGATTATGTAGAGAACACAAACAAGCATATAATCAAATACGAGAATTATGTAAATAATTGTGAATAAAAATCCAAGATATTAATTACCAGCATCATTAGGAGTCAAGCCCATGGGCCCAGCAGAAACAGCTTGGTGAGGCACAGGAGATAGATTCGCCATCCACCCTGCAAGTGATCCCGTTAAAGTTGTAGGACCATGCTGGAATAGCTGTTAAAATGGAGCAACCAATTACAACAATGGCAAACAATATATCTTCTATTTGATTAATAATAGCAAAACGAGAAAGATACTGGGACTCACTCCAGGACCACCAATTGACGGGAATCCCCCAACTTTAGGGACGGAACCCATCAGGGGATTAGGGGATGGTGCATGAGCGCCATTAGGTTGTCCACAACTATGGTCCACGAATAGGGTTTTTATATCAGGATTAGGCCTTGGATTCTTGCAGATTTGGTGCTGCCAGTTTAAACTGCAATTCCACATGCAAGCATGACTATAATACTTTAAGCGCATGTTTAGTACACACTACTAGACTAGATTGAACGGTAAGATAGTAGATAAACAACAGTTTTGACTTATTTTTCTAATACTTGTAAGTCTTTAAGTAGTGTCAAATCCACTTCACAAAATGTGCATTAAGAACACAACATTCGCATTTGCAGAGTGATGGAATGAGGAGAGGTAAGCCATATTATCCGCTCTTTTCTTAACTTGCCTTTGGTTGATCAGTGTACGCAATCTTGAGTTCCTAAAGGTGGGAAACTGGAGTTTATCACGAAAGAGAGGATTTGCCTCTATCAACTTTTTCAGCTCAATAAGCATTATAGCCCGAGCCGACTTGGTATCTCCATACTTAGAAAGCTGTTCGTTCTCCCTGGAATTAAACGTTTAGCATAAAATGTCAGAGATAAGCAGGTAAGAGAGAGCCTGTAATTGAGAATACCAGTACATGCGAAAAATAGGAATCAGAGGCAGGGAACAGTTTTGGAGCATGTTTGGCTGACCTTAAAAAAGTTAAACTTATAAGTAACTGTCATAAAAATTAATATCCACGGAGAAATTTTCGTCAATATATGATCAAATTCGTTTTTAAGTTCCAATCGTTTCGCTAATAAAATTATACCTAAAATTCTGCAACGTCAGAAGCATTGTCATTTCATTGAAGAGGTCCTCGTTGAAAGACGAAAACACTTTCAAACCCTTCGTAAGAATCTCCACTGCTTTAGCATGATCGCCCCTAACATAACAGGAAAAAATTAACATCCCAGTAAACAAAAGCACAAAAAATCGTAGCAATCATATTCATAAATTTTATAGATAAATGCACAAAAACAAAAAAAGTAGAAGCTTACTTGTCAAGGGCTTCAAGATACTTCTGCTTTCGGATCTCGAAGAAAACCTTCATGGAGTAACGGTTGTCGTCAACCTTTATAAACCCTGACAAATACTTTTCCACTTCCTCCCATTCTCCATTTGTCACTGCATCCTCAAAGTACCTCATGTTGAAGAAAAACCCTGACTCCTTCTCCAACCTACATCATTTATTTTGGAAAGTCCAGAACAAATAATAGCAATAATATATCAAACAGAAAAAAAAAATGAACACCCAAAATAAATTTAAAGGAAAGGGACTAAAAGCCTTACTTGTGGACAGTTTCCTTGAATTTTTCCTCATCAAGAAACTGAAGTATCAAGAAAACGAGCTCTCTGCTCAGCGAGGACATCTTTTCGTAGAATCGAACAATCCCAAAATTCCCGAATTACTCAGATTCGCTAAAATCCTGGTAAACCAGAAAACACATTCAAGGAACTCAGAAAATCATATCAAAGTAATAATCCCAAAAACAGAAACAAAAAACATACCTATATTAAACACCATCAACGAACGTAACACCTTGGAACCCTTGATTGAAAGAAAAATAATAGATCGAGAATTTTGGCTTTATGGAAACTTTCTTCTCACTTTACTTTCTTCTCTTCTTTTTCTACTCTTTACAGTGATTGAAAGTGAGGGAGAGTAGTGCTTCTCAAAGCAAATAAATTGACGTTGAAAGCAAGAGAGATTTTAATTATTAAAATGAAATTTATAGTGTCGCACACACTCGTAGAAGCGCGTGTAACCAAATGTATGTTGGAAATGACGGTTTACTGCACGTGTTCGGTTCTCCACGTGTAGTTCGTTACGTGGGGAATATCAATGAGGTGCAGGCGGTGGCAGGTGAGGTGGTGGAGCGTAAACGCGCGTGGGTCTTATAAATATTTCCCTTCGTATTAAATGAGCTGATAAGACCGTCTTCTTATTACTCTTCATATATAAGCAGAATATGCGATAGTCATAGGGGTTATCACTCTCCTCATTTTGTTGGTTTAAGGGCAGGACATGATTCGATTCGATTCGATTTTAAGAAGAATCAGATCGAACTCAAATTTTTGGATATTTAGTAAATAGAATAATTCGAGTTCGATTTCATTCGCTTCTCGAGTTTCGTACAATAATTAAATTTTTTGATATTTACAACGATACTACATTAATTCAACTAATAATATGTTTAATTTAGTTTTTACAAAATAACGTAGTCCAATCCAGTGCTATCTTTTGAGTTTCTCTTTGTTGAGTTTTCCATAGATTTGACTGTTAAAATTGCAGGAAGATGAGCATAAAGAACTCACGATAATAAAGAGATGTTTCCAATTCGATTTCTCCAACCAAAAACGACACTACAGGAGAAGAGGAGATTTGAGTAAAATTTATGTCAATTTGATTAATTGGACTTGGATTGAAAATTAGATTTAAAAAAAATCATATTTTAGATTTGGACTAAATTAATTAGTTAGCAAATTGATTTTAAAAAATTAAAATAATCTGGTGGTATTTCTTTGATTTTTTAACATTGTTCACCCCCCCGTAAATTGTAGCATCCCTTATTCGGATTTACTTGTTCTAGTGCATTGATTTGTATTTCTCAATGGCATTGGCTAGAAATTCTAAATGGGTTTATGATCGACTTCAAATTTTCTCTCGTGTTTGAGCCTTATTTTTTTGAAAGAATATATTTTGTAATAGTGATTTCTTGGAGAATGTGTGGTTAAAAAGTAAGAAAAATTTTTGGATTCATGTGTAAAATTATTTTATTGGAATAATGTGTGGTTTAAAATGAGTTTGGAGAATAATGCATTTTCATATAATGGGTCTCAAACAGGGTTAAAACTTAAAATGTTTAGTCTATTACTACTATTTATTTAATAGGGGAAAGAAAGAAAGATAAATTTTAAATTTGGTTGATTTACATTTTCTACATCAAACTTTGGAGTAATGAATAGTATTTTTTGGAGAATGTGTGGTTGAAATTTAAAGTAATTTTATTAGTTTGTGTGTAGAATATTTTATTGGATGAATGTATGGTGGAAAATCATACTGTAACAAACAATGTTTTGAAATGATAGAAGACAAACGGGACCTTAGATTGTCTATCTTCTCTATCATGTCCGCCTGCATTGGAGGGAGTAATTTAAGTTTTGAACAAAATTCTCCATTTAAATTCTATTAAAATAAAATTTAAATTTAAAAACGTCAATTTTATCTAGTGACAAAGTTGGTCCGATATCGATCATTTTCATTTCCAAATGTATTGAAAAATTAGACTCACCAAGATGGAATTGATGGCCGCATTGGAGCTTTGCCCAGGATCTAGCTCCATTATCAGTCACCCCATCTAAGCAAATTGAGCACGAAACAACCGTCGATGCCGTCTTGCCCCCAACTCTGTCACCATCATCCATAAGATCCGCATCACCCAATCACATACTTCAATCACCAATTTCCAAAACTGATGCAGGGGAAGCTTATAGGAAAGACAAAAATTTCATAAAAAGAATTTCAATCAAGAGAAATTCAAGAAAAACTTTATTTTCTTCAAAACTGAGCTGCTTCAAAAGGTTTACAACGTTTAAATAGCGAAA